CCCCCCCCCGCCGCGGCCCCCCCCGCGGCGGCGGCGGGCCCGCCCTCTCCTGGCTGCACACTGCCAGTGCATCCAGTCAGGGACCGCGGGCCGCTTCCTACCTTACCCTCCCATTGTTAGCCAAACCCTGGCAGAACCGAGACCTGTTGCTCCACTTCCCAGTCTTTTCTGCCTGACCCCACCCCTCTAGGCCTTAGGCTGGGCCACTGGGAGAGGGAGGCCGGTGAGGTGGCAGGAAGGTCCACTTGTAAATTCTAAGAGCAGTAAGAGCCACAGAGGCATGCAAGGCAGTAGCATCAGACCTGGAGTCTCAGTGCTCATGCTGCTGCGACTGGAGGCCAGCCTGGAGGAGCAGGGCATTCAGGGACCGCAGAGTGGACTGACTGGAAAGGCTGCTAGGAGCAGGGGCCCAATGACCCACCAGGGTGAAAGCCCAGAGAAAAAGGAGACGACAAGCTGGGGGCACTCCGAACTTGGGATCCACATCAGAGGCGGGTCTCTCGCCCTGAAAACCAGTAGGCCGGGGGTAGCACTCGGGTAGGCCCTTGTCCCCCAGTTGTTTTCAGCCCAGCAGGCACCCCCAAAGCACCAGGAAAGATGCTGACCCCGGGGCAGGGCCGGCACTGGGGTGACTGCCCGCTTCAGTCGCAAGTCAAGCTAGTCAAGATCACTGCATCAAGCCTCTGGCTTCAGCACGCCTGGCTTGCCCGCTGAAAACACTTAGTGTCTATAAAGCAGTAGCTGAAAATCCCCATGACAGCACCTGCTCCGTGCCTTCCAGCAGAGCGGGCCTAGGTCCTGGACCCTTAGCCTTCACACTGAGGTTGACAGAATGGTTAGAATATCCTCCATGTCCTGCCACCTGTTCTAGGACCAAGGATGCTTGGACACCCTTGCCCACAGACAACACAGAAGTAGGACAGCCTCTTCTCCCAGGAACCAGCATTTCCCTGGATGGAGAGATTGCCACTCCTCACCCTGGAAGCTTTTGTTTCAGGTCCCCTACCTTTCTGCACCCCTACTAGGAGTACCCATCACTCTTACTCAACTAACTCATTTTTGTACTTTAAGATGCAACTAAGGTCTTGACTCCTCCAGAAGGCTTTCTCTGACTAACCCCACGGCCCATCTACTTCTCTGTTCTAGAACAAATCCCATTAGATTATTTGTCTCTCCCACTAGATTCTATGCTCCTCATGGGCAGAGCTGGGGATTCCCAGAGACACCGGATATAAGCCCAGGACTCTGAAACAACAGAATGGGATCAAGTTCTCTTTTTATAAAACCATGTCCCTCAGGCCAGCAGATGACATGGGGTTAAGGCCTGGAACTGGAATCTCACATGGCTGATCATGGTTCAAGTCCCAGACCTGCTGGCTTGAAAAATCATGCTCTGTGTGTGTGTGTGTGTATGTGTGTGTGTGTACTCATACCCAAGATCCCAGGAGAAGAATGGAGAAGTGATTGCAGCATGACCATCCCCCTGGGAGGTGATTTCTCACTTTCCTTATCACTGTGTCTGTGTCTCTCCAGCAACCTCATGAGCTCTATGGTAAAAATAATGAAAAACTTAAAACAAAACCAAAACAAACAAACAAACAAGAAGTCCCTCTGCAGGACTATGAAAGCAGAAGGAAAAATAAATCTTTTACATTTTGTATCTTTACACACAATCTTCCCAAAAGGGCTCCACTGCTTGAAGTAATAGCAACACTAAAGAAATAAATATACTAGTCTAGCCCGACCTTCTTCCTTAGCAACTAAGGTAAAGGGAAGGGAAAGTAGACTAGGAAGGGCCCTGCTAAGGAAGCGCAGATGACATGGGGTTAAGGCCTGGAACTGGAATCTCACATGGCTGATCATGGTTCAAGTCCCAGACCTGCTGGCTTGAAAAATCATGCTCTGTGTGTGTGTGTGTGTATGTGTGTGTGTGTACTCATACCCAAGATCCCAGGAGAAGAATGGAGAAGTGATTGCAGCATGACCATCCCCCTGGGAGGTGATTTCTCACTTTCCTTATCACTGTGTCTGTGTCTCTCCAGCAACCTCATGAGCTCTATGGTAAAAATAATGAAAAACTTAAAACAAAACCAAAACAAACAAACAAACAAGAAGTCCCTCTGCAGGACTATGAAAGCAGAAGGAAAAATAAATCTTTTACATTTTGTATCTTTACACACAATCTTCCCAAAAGGGCTCCACTGCTTGAAGTAATAGCAACACTAAAGAAATAAATATACTAGTCTAGCCCGACCTTCTTCCTTAGCAACTAAGGTAAAGGGAAGGGAAAGTAGACTAGGAAGGGCCCTGCTAAGGAAGCACATATTAGAGGCCAGCAGGCCACCCACCCACCCAGGCCCCCCAACTCCCCTACCCAGACTGCTGCCTTCTACAAAGTTTAAAGAGAGAATAAATCTTGCACAAGGATTTCCACTGCTCATTTTATTTCAACAGTTAACTGTCCCCAGAGAAGAAACTTCTGATGTCACGGGCGCTTGAAAGCACCATTCTATTCTCTGGGAACGGCATCAGTATTTACCGACAGCCTACTTTTAAAAGTTGGCAGTCACTATATAAACATCAAGTAATCAAACATGAATAGATTCTTTAAAGAAAAAAAACAGAAATGATGCCTATAATGGCTTAAACTTTACGGAGGAGAGTGAACTGGCCCTGGTGGTCAGGATGCTTACTAGTAACCCCGCTGGAGAAGGGGCAGTGGCCAGGAAGACGGTGGGAGACCGAGCAGCAAGACAGGACGCTGCAGAACCTGCTGTCAACACCTCTGGTCTGGCTGCTGGCCCCAGTCACATAGAAGGGCTGAAAGTGAAATGTCTCGTGCTCCCAGCCCTGTAGGGACCAGGCGAAGGGAGCAGAAGGCTGAAATAGACGGTGCCTCCTGTCCTGGAACAGGCCTGAGGAAATCAGAGTCCATCTTCGGGGCTAGTACAATAAACGGCAGCACACCCAGGGACGGTTAAATTCATTTCTAAACGTGAGCTTCCACCAGCCCCTACTCCTCAGAGCCCAGGCCCTCCCCTGGTAACCTCTTCCTTCACATTCCTCTTCAATCCTACAGCTCAGGGTTAAAGAACTTTAGAAATCACCCTCCTTCCTCCTATCTGGAAATGGGAATTAACTGCCATCTTACGCCTATCAATATCCTTCCTCCCCACACACCACTAAACACAGATCAGAAAATTATCACTGTCACCCCCTCAACACCCCACTTTGCTGGCCTGGAGGGCGGGCTAGGGATTAGTCAGACTGCTCCTGAGAGGACGGCTGGCTGGGCTCAGAGGGCATCTCCGCATCCTGGTCGTCTGTGAAGGACAAAGAGGGCAGATGGATTTAGAAAGAGGGCAAATTACCTGTTCTCAGATGCAGCTTTCCTATAAGGCTTTCTCATCTCTCCAGCCCCTCTGAAGTATGGGTATGCCTCTAGTTTGCTGCCATCAGGAGACTACAATTCAGGGCCTGGCCACATGACATGGACTCAAGTTCTAACTCTTACTCTGCTCCATACCAGCTGGGTGGCAGGAAGTGAGAAACCCAGCAGCTCTGAATCTCAGCTTCCCCTCTGTCAAATGAGACCACCTCAACCTTGCAATGGCAGCACGAGTGAGACAATAGGCGACAGCTACCTTTCACTAATACTTTCATCGATTCATTTAATCCAGAATAATCACAAGGTAGGGGCTGTTGTTAGTGCATTTTTGTAGATCCTGAAACAGAAGCACCAAGGAACCAATTAGCTTGCCTGAGGCCACAGAGCTAGTAAGCACCAGGGCCAGGACTCACACCCAGGCCACACGGCACCGGGCTGGTGTGCTTCCAGACACACTATACCACTTCTCTAGGTAACAGATCAGGTATCACACACACTAAGTGTGCAACAGACTTTAGTTTCCTCTTCAGTAAAATGGAATGATGTCACCAGACTCACCTAGCTTATCAGACAGTTCTGACAGTTATTTTAAAGACCTCATTGAGTTTGCTAGCCTTCCCCTCAGGGAAAG